ATTTTAATCTTTTCAGTTCCCTCTTTGCTAAAAACAGTACTTTATTTATTGCTTTATTTATTACTACAGCAAGAGCAGCACCACAGCAGTTAAATCAAGGATGATGATCTGCTATGTGTGATGCTGTAAATAGTAATATTAATGGCCCTGAGTTTAAAAGATTGATTGTCTAAGCTCATGATAAGCATTGGGCATACATAGACAAAATTGTATTCTAAAGAAGCACAGTTTGCACACAGAGCAGCAGTTTCAGTTCATTACCAGCTGTTGTCCGGGGAAGCTAGATGAAAACATGCCAACCGCAAGGAGAAAACAAAATCCTCCTTATTTGAATAGGTAGCACTCACCCAGGCGCTTCTTCACTTCAGTGTGGAATAAACAGCATGTATGCCCCATGCTGTGTCCCCAAGACGTGTGCGAATTTACCCATGCCATGCTGTGCGTGTGCAAAACGATCCAAAAATGAGTATATACCAACAAACAATCTCTAACCAGCAACCAGTTACCTACAGCCTTAGCCAAATTCAGTCCAGACTGTCCTGCCCCTTCAGCCCTGCCCTGGCTCCTCGGGCAACTCCTGTGGGCCTTCACTCCCTTGTCCTGGCTTGGAGTGGCAGCAACGGGATCATGCCCTTTTGAGATGGGGTAAACTCTGGGAAGTTGTCTCGCCTTCATCCCCCACATCATGGCAGGGACATGGGAAATGGAGGAGGAGACACTGGTGCTGGTCAGAGGAAAGAAGAACATGAGAGCAGCTCAGAAATGCTCGATTGTTTTTACAGCACCCACCCAGTCGGTAATCCCATGCCTGGGACGTACCCTGCCTGTTCCCTGCACCTTGCTTGATGGGCCGCTCTGCCCCATCCTGGGATGAGTGCCAGCACGGGGTGGTGTGTAACAGCCTCTCTTGCTGTTCTGAGTCAGAACTTGGAACGCTGTAAGCACAGGTCAGCCAGTCCCTGCTTCCAGCATAGTTATGAACAGGGAAGCTTGGGGTCTCTTTTTTTCAAGACTTGAATTCTTCTTTTCCAGTTCTTTTGTCTGTCTTCTGTTGTTTTATCTTAGGATGAAATTGGGAACTGCTTATTCCCGGAGTTTGGGGTTTTTTTTTTTTTTTTTTTTTGGTCCCTAATCGAAGGAACCTACCGCAGATTTAGCCATTACAAAATTGTGCCACGACATTTCTCACAGCCTGGAGAGGATCACTCGAGTCTCGGAACCTGTCCCCACTGCCTGTGACAGGCCACAGGAACTGGCTGGAAGTTGTCAGTGGAGATTCCTCCTCCTCGGGGCATGCTGACGTGGTGGCACCGGGCTGGCGGTGCAACAGTGAATCACCACCTCTGGCAGGAGTGGTGCTCCCGGGACAATGGCAGGCCTGGGAACTGCATGCAGCCACTCCTTACGCTAGACAAACTTTGAAAGGAAAAGCAAACTGAGTTTATTTGACTAAACTGCTTAACAAACCAGCACCTGTTTCTTGGAGGAAGAAAGGGGAAATGAGTTAGTATGCCAAACAGTTTTGAGACAAAGTGACTTCTACCATTTGACAGACCTTCATGATTCCCTCCTGGTTCCCTCCAGGCAGCAAGCTCCCCTGTCCAGTTAGCCCCAAAGACAACTTACACAGCTGTCTGGAAGTGGGGTGCAACCTTTTAGACAAACTTCATCCTTTGGCTTTACTTTCTTTGAGATGAGCATGAACTTGCAGTGAAGTTCCCCTTTTTATCCTGCTCTCTGGATAGAGTTCTGCTTGGTGTAATTCCACCTTTATTGCTTTCTAACTCTGCATCCTCAGGTCTCAATTTTTCATCCACCTATAGCCACGGTTGTGAAGGAATAGCCCTGGAGTGGTTCTCCTGGTTGGGCAAACCCAATCAGGCATAATTCTGGGTCAGCTACAAATAAGTATCACAGCATAATACAAATGCAAATGCATCTCCTCTTGCAAAAAGTTAAGAAAAGTTTCATCACCTCCAAGGATATATGACCATGCATTCATACGGGTTTAATAATAGTTCACTTCAGAGCTAGTCATTGCACAAGCTGTAAGTGCGGACAATGAATGAAGCTCATTAGCAGTTTGATACAGGCTAGATATGATGGCAGACAAACAACCATGGGGACAAAAGTGCATTTGAAGTAGATGATTCCTACACTCAGCATGCCAGGATGACAGACGGGACACTCTGGCCATGCTGGCATTCTTGGTTGTTGTACTTTTGTTCCCTGCTGCTAAGCATGGCAAAGGAAAGGTTTCCTGAGTGTCTAGCTGACGCTTCCTTAAAGCCCGTTCAGCCCCAGGTGCACACCACAACCTCTGCTCCCAGGCAGCCAGATGGCTAGCTGCAATCCCGTCACTCTTTAATTAACTTTGGATTTTTTTTCCTCTGTGGGTTGTTTCTGGGAGAAAGGGAGCTGACAGCATGTTTGTTTACATGAGATTGATTTGGCCTGGCAGTTCCCTGGGACTATACTAAGAATTTTGAAGTGTCTTTGGGTTTTGTTATCACCATAAAAGGAGTAAAAGCTGAGAATCCAAGGGGATTTCTAGGATGCATCTAAAGAAGTTATGTAAGTATGCAGGTTTATTGCAAGTCATATGCAGATGGGCAGCACACAAAACAAAGCTGATGAGGGCAAACTAATCTGAGGCCTTGGTTACTGTGCACTGTTGAGCTGCTGCAATGTATAATTAACTTTAAACACAACTACAACAAATGCTGACCTGTAAGCAGCTCCTTTAAACCCTGTGGAGTTGCTTGCGTGCACAAAGTTACACAACACACATAAAGCAACCGTTGGATGGAAGGTTCAAGATGTATCCCACTGCAGAGAAGAAAATGCTAACCAGCATTTATTACCCGATCTAGATTAAAAAGCAGAAGGGTGTAAAGAATCTGCATTAGGAGTTAGCAACTAAAACGTCCAGGTATAAAACTAACAGGTAGAAATATATTTAAGTAACGGATCAAAAGTAAGTTCATCCTGCAATCCAGAGATGTGAAACAGCTTTTGCACTTGTTAACTAGCTGTCCCTAGCAATCAAGCTGTGGCAGCACGTACGTCATAGTCTACTGAGACCCCAGCTAAAGGCCAAGCAGGGTAGCAAGTACCAAGGTCCATCTTGCTACAGAGGACAAAAGCATGGTCTAGGAAAGAGCAAATTAGAAGGGAAGGTGGGGAAGCAGCACCAGCTCACCAAGTCTGAACATAGAAAGGGTAGAAAGGATCAGAAAGGAAGGAGGCAGCCACATAACAGAGGAAAAAAGACTATGGAGTATTTTTCCTTCAGAAGCAGCAAGTCTGGAAGGCAGAAAGCACTGAAGGAGAGGAGATGCATAAGGGAAGAGGTGAAGGAGAGTCATTTTGAATCAGAATGGTCTTAAATGTAAAGGATGAAGCACACTTCCCGCAGCTGTCATGAAGGGAAATCTCTCTAGACAGAGGACTTTTTAAAATTACTTTGAGGCTGTGTTGCTTCTGACATCAGAGCGTTTTGCAAAGCGAGGCTTTGGGACAAATGACGTACCTCTCAAAGGCTATAATTTCACTGCAGAGACAAGATAAGGGCAGAGCTGCTGCGAAAGCATGCCTGGAAAATTGCAGAGGTGCGCCCTGCTATTTTGCATCAGAGATTGTTTTTTTAATTATTATTTGTTGAATCATATCCCAGATGAAGGAGCAGAGTCCTCCCCCTGGTGGCAAGTAAAAAAAAAAGTATCAATGACTTTTTACAGTCATGTCAATCTAAGGCTATAAATTAAATAAGGAGCATCAGACAGGACCTATTTTTTATTAGGTCAACTGATACAGCTGGGGAAAAAAAGACAGTTTTGCAAAACACAAATCCTTTTTCAGGTCTTACATAGAATTATTTACTTTGAAGGCTGATACAACTTGAGAATAGTTGCCGAGTTAAATTTCATGGTTAATTTATTAGACAATTTGCAAGAGAAGCAGAGGATAAAACCTGTAGAATAACTTTTAGTAGCTGAGCAGGGTAATTGTAATGAGCAATAATCCCATTATTTCTACTGAGTCCTTGTCTTTTAGTGCCCAATTGAGTTTTGGTGTCTAAAATCCCTTAAAGGCAGACTGGTTGGGAAAGTAAAATTCATTACGCTACTGAACAGTAAAAATGGACTCAGTAGACAAGTTAGGTTTATTGTATACAACAATTTTCCCCAACTAATGATGTCCTCAGATAGCTCTTCAAAAATTATCTGTAGAAAATTATCTCTCTGCGCTTGTTAGAGGAACTTATGGCAAGTGCCTTTTGGATAGGATTTTTTCCTTTAGATGACTAGTTTGGTGGACGAGGGGAGAGCAGTAGGCATGGTTTTGACTTTACTAAGGCTTTCAACACTGTCTCAAATAGCATCCTCATAGACAAACTGATGAGGTACAACCTAAATAAATGGGCAGTGAGGTGGACAGAAAACTGGCAGAACCGCTGGGCTGAAAGCAGCTAGTCACTAGTGGAGTACCCCTGGGGTCGATACTTTAACATCTTCATTAACAACCTGCATGAACAGACAGAGTCCACCCTCAGCAAACTGGCAGATGATACAAAACGGAGGGGAGCAGTTGATAACCAGATGGTTGTGCTGCCATTCAGAAGGACCTCAACAGGCTGGAAAAATGGGCAGAGAGGGTGGTCAGGAAGTTCAACAAAGGGAAATGCAAAGTCCTTCATCTGGGGAGGAATAACCTGTGCACCAGTACGGGCTGGGGGCTGACAGGCTGGAAAGCAGCTTTGCAGAGGAGGACGTGGAAGTCCAGGTGGAGAACAAGTTGACCATGAACCAGCAATGCGCCCTTGTGGCAAAGGCGGCCAACAGCATCCTGGGCTGCATTAGGAAAAGCGTTACCAGCAGACCTAGAGTGGTGATTTTTTTCCCCTCTATTTTTCTTTTCAGCTCCAGTAGATAAACACCAGGTATTACCCTGCCCTCAACAGTACAGATAGTGTAAGAATGGCTGAATTATAACTACATGAAAAGCAACCATTGCTTTTTAATTATAAAAAGGAAAAACCTTCTTCAGCTGTGACATTCAACATTAATAACCACTGAAACATAAACAAAAATATATTCCCCCATCCTTAAGAATGGAAAGCTATGCCCTTTACCACAAAACACTGTCTACATGCTTATGTTTAAAAAGGTTTAATTTTCACCCTGGTACAAAAATACAGTACAATGTGATGGCAAGGCATTCGCCAAAAAACATTCAAAGAATAAAAGGGGAACCCCCGTAAAGCTTCAACATAACCCACCCTCACTTGATGAAACAATCAAAAGGTGAGTGCACAAGGAGAAAGTTAAATTTCTGCCCAAAGGCAAATAAAGATGAATCACACACAATTTTACACAAAAATGTGTTTGCACACACTAATAATTTCACATGCTACTTGGACATTCATGGAATTTATTCTACTTGGCTTAGTGGCAGAATTCATGGTTTGGGATGTCTAGAAAACACCTGGCCAAGGAACATGCCCCATTCATAGGAATCCCCAGTAAAAACAATGGGATCACGTAATACCAGTGAGAAAAGAGGGATCCAACCCTGATTAAGTGTCAAAATGTTGGCTATTTCTAGTTATTCCAATCACACTGTTTGTCCTCAAATAATGTTTTGCCCTACACGCTTCCCTTTTCACATCAAATATTAGTGGCTGCTCAAACACACAAACTGATGTGTTTGCACATTACCTAGTTGCAAATAATCATTACAGGACAAACTGCCAGGCAGAGGAGGAGATAACACTGTAACTGATGTATGTGTGTGAACTCCAAACAGGGTTTAACCTAACACTGTTGACAGGAGAATTATGTCCCTCCAGTGCATCTACATTCTTGTCTGTTTAATCATTTCCTTTTAGAGTTTTGAAGTGATGGAAAAGCATCATTCAGTGTATTCATTATAGTTCATCTCCCAGGTGTTTTTGTTTGAAAGCATCACCTGTTAGCTTCTCCTGGGCCTCCTTCATCCCTTGGACAACTGAAAGGTTAGACAGAGAGACAGCAACTGTTAATCTCAAGATGAAAACATCAAGGTGTCCTGGTAATGAAAGTGTTTTAAAATAACACAGTTACAGAATATAGGTCTACAAATTAACCTGTGGGGAAAAAAAACCCACAACAGTCTTGTGCCCTTTTCCCAACTATTTGTAGCTGGATCATGCAAATTGCTTGATTTTCCATACCACAACTGGAGACAAAATTCAGGTCCTATAGACGTTATAGTAGGTATTAAAGTGAATCGTGATTCTGAGCATGGTTCCTCAAGGCATAAAAGAGCCACTCACACACGTATCTAACAGCTCCCAGTTGTGCTGTAAAGTATCATCATTCTTCTCCACTCAAAAGTGAAGGTGTGACCTTCACTCAGGACACACCCAGAGTTTCATCTCACTAAAAATGCACTTCGAACTACTTTGCACATACCTTGATCAGCATTGGTATAGAAATACTTGTAGCTGGGGTTTCCTTTCTCATTTATGATTTCTGGGTGGACTTTTCCACTGGGGTCTATGAAAAAAGAAATCAAACAGGAAATTTAAGTGGTAACAATAAGAACACAGTCCTGTGAGTAGATACAACAGCTGTGGATGTCCTACCCATGAAAAGGATTCTGGGAATATAACCTCCATCAGGACTAAAGGCTTCATCCTTTGGCTCTTCATCATCCTACCAAAGCAAGATAGAAGAGAGGGAACATGTTAGCAAGGTATCTAACAAAACACAGCACTCAAAGAAACAAGCTATTGCCTTCAGATTCCATTTATCCTGAGCAATTTACATCTTGAACAGACACTAGGTAACTGCAGTATCTTCCACTTTCAAAGGAAAGAAAGTTATATTTACCTAAACAAGTATCATTTGTGAAAATAATCATATTAAATAATCATATTAAATGCTTCACTTTGGTGTAGGAATGTTTGATATATCATGAGAGAATGAATACAAATTCCCTTATTATTGCAGCAGCAGAACGACAGAAGGTACAAATTGTTAAAGAGACAATGGCAGAGAGCCAGGTTTATAAACACAATTAAAATAACCAGACTGAAGAAAATTCTTTTTAGAACAATCAGCTATATCAGTCAATCCTGAATACCTATTCAGGAGCGCATGATTTAGGATGTACACAAAACAGGATGCAACCAGTTAAGTAGGATTTGAAATGCTTAATTACTAGACAGTAACATGGATACAAATCAGAGGGCAGCATACCTCAAGGTTGACCATAACAAAATTATGGGCAAGTTCAGAGATCTCCTTGGATTCAGCAAACTTTGGCTTTAAAGCTAATTAAGGGAGGGGAAGAAAAAAAAAAAGAAAAAGAAGAGATACGTAAAAACAGTGAAAAAGATTTCAGGTTTTCAGGTCGGCACCAAAATCTTGACTTCATTCCTCCCTCTGGAGAGCTGGTACTTTTCAATAAGCAGTGAGTAAATGGCATATATGTATCAAACTGTTCAAGCCAGGCTCAGAACAGCAGGTAACTGAAGCAATCCTTGCTGGGCAGCCATATGATGAAGCCTGGCCAACAAACGTATGCAGTGATATTTGAACCAATGGAACAGAAGCAAAAAGCTTGCTGTAAACCACCAGTTCTCACTCAACCAGCTCATCCTTTAAGCTTAGCCATTATGGCCAGCTTGTTTGTTTGTGATACTGAAAGAGACAAAGCCCCACCTTTGAAGAACCACCAGCTGCAAGTAAGGCAATTTACACTTAATTCTTGAAGATCATTCTGTTCCAATTTTATAGCCAAGTGCAGGAGAAATTGCAGCCACTACAGACGTGCAGCATTACAGCTGTTTGCTGGCATTTAGGCGTGGCTGGCTTTTGGCAGTGCTAACAGGTAAAGTGGTTCGATATTATACCATTAGCTACATTTTGAATGTGAAGTTCATGTTCCTCATGGTTATGTGATTTGTATACAAAAGTTCATTAGAAATTTCAGTGAGCTCTAGTATTAAATACACAAACCTTTGCAAGCTCCACACCAAGACTTGTGGATGATAACCATAAGAGGCAAACCACTAAAAAAAAATAAGAAAGAAAATTGTCAAAGAAAGCTTACAGAAGCCAAATTCTAGTACGTGTACATTTTAACAGTCAAGACTTCTACAAAGGCTAAATGTAACGGAAAATGAGAGAGATGTAAAGAGATTCTGCTGTGCTTTAAGGTTGTCTAGCAAGAAGTTTTCCCAATCTTAAAACATGTATAGTAATAATTTATTATAACTGCCATCCAGTAACTGCTCCTGTAGAGGAGGAGACTTTCTCTTTGGAAGGTTTGCTCTTACTAGTTTAGATTTGCTCAGATACACAACTGGTCATGCATTTTTTTACTGGAAGTGGTTAGTGACACCAGCTGCTTGAGAGATCTCAGGATGGATTTCTGTGGCTGCTTAAGGCAATCCAGTGGATGACAGTCATCCATCCATCCCTCTCCTCAGTACAGTCTGTATGTTTCAGTCACCTCCTGTGACTAAGACCCTCCACTGAGCAATAATCAAACACAGTAATCTAGTAAACCCTCTGGCTGCCAGGCTAGTTTCCTACACGTTGGTATGCTGAAACAAATCTGTGACAAATGTGACAAGTGCCAGGACTGAGGGGCGGGGGGGCTGCGTGGAACTGCAGCCTAAATAAAGTGCAATGCAAAAGGACCAAAGAAAGTTATTCTTTATTATTCTCTCTCTCTTCCCAAGTAATTCACTTGACCTTTACTACCTATACTACTCAGAGGTTAAGTTTCCATCACCCTGAGGTATGTTTTAGTTAATCTTGTTCTTCAAAAATCCCTTTAGCATTTTACCTTCTGACAAAGTCAAGCTTACCAAGTTCCATTTCTCTAAGCTCCTTTGTAATATATTCAGGCTGCATTATGCAATTAGTCAGAGAGGCCTTAAAGACACTACAAGTTTCACGTATTTCCTGATGTTAGTGCTGGTGATCCAATTAATCCACCACTTCACTGCTCCTAACTATTTTGCATCAATTTTACCTTTCTAACAAGAAAAGTGATACAACTACAGGTGACTTCCGTTGCTATTGAGCACACCCAGGTAGTACAACACTTACCTCCACACTTTCTGCGTGTGGAAGTCCTTACTAGCACTTTCATTGTTTCTACCATCCAACAGTTGAACTGGTGAAAGCCGACTAGGGCAATAAACTAAGAAAGACTAAGAACAAGAATTGGGTGTCTCAACCCTTTTCTCTTACCAATAAACCCCTTAAGCTATGGAAGAGTACCCAAGGGAAGCTGGTAATAAGGATACAGCTTCTGGAACAGTAAGAACAGCCTAAAACTCAGTGAAGGAAAAGAACGAACCAAGAAAGACACACAGAGAACATACCACATGGATACTTCTTTCAGGATATGCCAAGCAAAGCAAAGTTAAAGCTTTCTGCTATTGTAAACTCTTGAGGGTTAAAAACAAAGTGAATTTCTCACAAACAGAGAAATTACAAACACCTTTGCACATGACAGCAACTAAGTTAATTACTAGCAGAACTCAAGTACAAGTTTTTCTTTAGCTGTAGATAGATATGAAAGGAAATCTCTACTTAGCAGCATTCAGTTTTGGCCTTCAGAACCAGGAAAGGGTGGAGAGGAAGCAATTAACATTTAGAGTAGTTCAAACAGAAGTCTGCCATTTATAACTAACCAATATGTTACCATCTTTACACAGGACTGTTTGCATTAAGGAGCAAGAATACACATTTCCCTAGTAAAGCTTATATTGCATCAGCGTCCTCTCCCTGATGACGAAAGCACTTATTTTTTCATTGTTTCCGTACAGCCCAACATGATTTTGCCTCTTTCTTGAAGAGAGGCTGCTTTATGTCTGGAAAAAACACATTGTTCTCATCATCAAGGATCAGTGCTTCACATCAGAAGAGTTCAATCATCTGGTAATCAGTACTGCAACATACTTTTTTTTTTAAGTTAAGAGAGATTTTCAAAGCAGATTTTAAATGGAAGTGCTCGCAGTCCTGAAATACCAACTCTTGGCCAGTGAGAACTCACAGAAGTTTTAGAGATACTGAATGTGTTTTCTCACCTTTATTCTCTTTACTTTGACTGGGAAAATAAACTTGTAAATTTACATCAAAACATTTTTGTAGTCATTTCTCCATTCTGCAATGCATAAGTCCACCTAGCAGCCAGTATGTCAGATAAACAGCCACTGTAATTGAAGTAACCCTGCCTGCCCCACTTTGCCATTTCCTCCCAGGTAGCACTACATGTACAATTAAAACCAAAAGCCACAATTTATTAAAACGAGGGATGAAGCATCCACCAGAAAATGCAAAGTTTATATAAACTACCTAGGTGGTACAGCAAAGACTGAAATTAGTTGAAACTAAGCACAGAACTAAGTTACCCATCACAGGTGGTACACACTTATGGGAGTTTCTCCCAGAACAGATGCTGTCATTTTAGCTAATTTTTCCTATGAGAGCACTCATTCTTAAACAATTAGTGTTTTTAAAGGTGTTTAATGATGACCTTACACAGAAAAGACACAGCAAGTTATTTCAATAAAATAGTCCTGCAGGTAAATGAAGACTTTACTCCATTTAAGGCACACATTTTATTGTTAAACCTGAAACAGAGAGGTTTGAGTTTGCTAAGCCAGCACCCTTCTGTTGCACAGTTTAGTTTGCAAATCTGGATTTTTTTGAGAGAGTCACATCCTAAAAATACAGCCTGTTTCAGTTCTGGACCCAAAGTCTCTTCTGCAATTTGACATTATCTGGAAACAGCCTTGGAAAAACAATCTTCTTATTCAAAACATACACATGCCAACGTGGAGGCGAAAAGTTTTCCCTACGGTCACCACCTTTTGTGTTTTCATGTTCAGACACTATTTGATTACTGGGGTTTAGGTCTCCATAGGAGACTTCACTTGCCTGGGGATGCAACAGTACCTCTCCTTTTTGAAAGGTGCAAGCGGGGAAAATATGCAGGCGGGGGAACAGCATCCCTACAGATCCTCTTAGCAATACAGCTTGCTCAGCTGCTGCAGGGACATGGCATCCATCTTCCCAAAGCTGCTGTTGCCACACGCGCTGGACTGATGATCCTTATGGGTCCCTTCCAACTTGAGATATTTTATGATTCTGTGATCTCGTACATGACAGGTGGGACCCAAGCTCCGCAGGCTCTGTGGCTGGAAGGCACATTCTTACTGTTGCAAGGACTTTGGGACCAGACCGCGGCCACTGCCGTGCGTGGCACAGGCGACAGGGTTCACTGGATGCTGCGGCTCAGGTACTGCAGGAACATGCTGGCCAGTTGGGGCAAGTTTTCGTCACTGGGCTGCATCTTGGTGTAGCTGATGAACTGCCTCCGCAGGCGGCTCAGCTCGGCCATGC